AATGTAAATTTGTGTACCAGGTTTGCTAGTGCTAAGACACCACCAGATTTCCCCTCCACTGCATCAGCAACATCAGTGGAAACCTCTGTTATAACAAAAATCATTGACCTGGTTTGCCTTTGTGTCATGTTATTAATATGAAAAGATTTTGAATTTGTAGACCCCTGAAAGGGATATTGGGACCCAAGGGTCCACTGAGCACAGCTTGAGAACCATTTCTCTATATCACTAAATATTCTTGAAAGGGCAGTATAATGCAATCTCAAGTAAATGTACCATTTAATCATTCTTTTATTATTGCACGTTGAGATTGTATCTAATTTTTAGAAATCAGTAAAAATTTGTGATGAGCCTCTTTCTGTATAAATCTTTGTCTTCTTCTCTAATTATTTACTAAAGATTGACTTCTAGTAATTTTACAAGGTCAAGAAAGATTATCAAAATGTGCTTTTAAGTCTGTTTCCAAAGGGAACCTCATCTCTGCATCTGGTTTATGTTAGGTGGTTGTGAATTTGCTAACTCTGCACTGGAGAAACCAAGTGAAGACAGAGCACCAACTGGCCACGTGGGTTTTCTTCAAGGTTGGGTTACAGGATCCTGGGTCAGCTCTCTTCACACTAATTGCATCCATATTCCTGGGCATGTTCCCATTAAAGTGTTCTGCCACAGCAAGAGTGCTTAAACAGTGACAGGTTTTGTGGTCAGCATATTTATTTCCTGCCTGAAAAGAGTGAAAGAAAAATGTGGCAGCTGCTATATCATGTGAATGAGTTTAGCAAAATTTGGTGTCCCAGTTGTTTGGTTTTGTGACCCTGGATGATTAATCCTTTCCTACCCTTTTTGCAGCATTTCTGGTTATGTTTGCAAACTCAGTTCTTTCTGAACTTTTTTACCCAAACATTTGGTCCTTAAGGACTTGGAAATGAAAACTTGAGCTCATAGATATTTCCCCCTAATCTATCCTTGCCTTTTCATTTTAGCTTGTTTTTTTTTTTCTTTCTTTCTTCTTTTCTCCCAGATTGTCATTTCCTTAAAAAATAAAAGTAATCATCTTGCCAGAAGTAGACACCATTACATAGCTGATTATTTCCATTTCTTTCTCCTCATAATTTTCTATCTTTTTTCTTTTAGTCGGAAAGCATGGCATTTTATAGGAGTACATAATGAGAACAGGAAGATTTCATAGACTCAATTTATTCTTTCCTTTAATATCCTAGACAGTGTGCAATCTTATTCTACCTGTAGATACTTGTAACAAATCTGATACTACAAGTTTTATGCTGACTTTTTAAAAATTATAAACATGAACATATGAAAATGCCCCCAAATTAAATTCTCTATAGCCCTTTTCTGCTTCAAGATTCACATAAACTCTCTCCTCCCTCCTTGTGAGCACATTCTCCTACAGAGAGTTTTACTAAAGTACATCTCGGCATAGTTTTAGCTTGATATTTTCAAAGATATTACTTGCAGTCACCAAGTGAAACCCATTGTTATGTCTCTGAATTAATGTTGTTGGGAAGTTGGTACTTTTTTTTACACTAGATTACAGTAAGAGGATTTGCTTCTGAGCACTTGACCTGTTTGTTTGTTTGTTTGTTTGTTTGAAGTATGACTCATATAATTGGCTGTACAGATTAAATTTGAATTCTCACATCTTAAAGTCAAGGTTGTATCAAACATTGCATGAATATATAGACTCTGATGACACCTATTTCATGTACAACCTATCTTGTTTCCTCTGGCTCAGTTCTATTTTCCTATCCTCAAATTGCCTTCCTCCAAATTTCTACAATATTCTTATTTGTTTCGTGTTCTTTACTTGTGCTTATTTTTGCAAAATGCCATAAATCTGTATTATTAAAAGGACAAAAGAGTGTCTAAATTTTAACATTCACAATAATCTTCCTTAAAAGTCAATATATTCAAATGGGCTAAAATTTGGGCCACAAATGCTCAGAGACCAGGTGTGAAGTAAAACTGTCTAAAGTTTTCAGTAAAGAAAGGTGATATCTGTGAATCATTCAGCACTGACAGTTACATGAACAAACACTGGTGCCAATTTCTTACTGTTTCTACAAGTTAAGAATGAACAAACAAGCAAAACAAAACAAAGGAGAGCCCTTTTTGCCTAGATTATAAAACCAAAGAATAAAAAGCAACAAAAAAAGACCATTGCTCATTGATTTTTATGATGAGACAATGAGAAAATATTATTGATATCACCCCAGTTAAAAAACAAGCCCTTCCAAAAATATCTCCTCTTCACAAAGAGAAATGTGTTCAATAAAAATTAAACACAGAAACCAAGAAGCATTTTTATTTGAATTTTCTGTTACATTTTCATTTTATCTGAAAGATTAGCATACTGAGAAAGACTTTCTATTCTTTAAGACTGGAAACACTTAGGGAAATGTAATTGAAGAGTTTGAAATGACAGTGGTGATAATGGGGAGAGTAGAATTGAGATTTACCTCTCTGGGACAACCCAAGATTCACCATTAATCAGGCCAAACCTAATGTAATGTAATAAACATGACATCCAGAATAAGTGTAGTCCATTTACACCAGGGAAATGATTATATTCCATAATTTAAGTGCTTTCCTTAAAAAATGTCACATGTAGTTTTATGGATAGAAAATGTCTTTCCCTGATAGTAACAAATCAAATACTTCATAACCTGAGACTTCACTTGAAAGCCCTGATATTTATAAATGACAGCACTATAATCCTCATTTGTCAAAACATACATGATTGTCACAGACTTTAGTTCCCAAATTCTGCAAAGTGAGCCATTAGTTTTTCTCTAGTCATAAGTCTTTACCGAGTTCCATGGGAAATGGGAAGGCCAAGCCTGTTCCACTCTGCTCTTCTTCAAGGTATCCCCCAAGCTACTGCTCTGGGCTGGCATTTAACCGGGTGAAAAAGAAATGGAAAGAAACAGTGCAAAAGTCAGCTCCTGGCCTACTTAAACTCTTGGACTAAGTGGAACAAGAAATTAAATACAAACATGGCTTCATTAGAACATAGTGAAAAATGAATTGTCTTTCATCATAGTTGTCTGAAATCCAGAGAACTTCTTTTTCTTCATTTTAATAGAAAGTTATTTAAGACTTAAAATACTTTCAGAAAAAAATAGGTTCAATAAGTACATTAACATGACTGGGAACTTTTATCAATTTACCTGACTTCTGTCACCAAACTTGGTTTGAATTATCTGGAGTCCAAGCAGAACTCATGGCAAGATTCTTTATGTTGCTTGTCACTTCTACCACTTGACTGCTGAGCCTTTCTTTGCGGTGTCTAGTCACCCTCCTGGCCTTTCGGCCATCTGTCCTGTCTAGCCCTATGGTCTAGGTTTCCTCCTGCTTCCTAATTTCATGCCTGATTTCAGCCTGGATTAATTTTTCTAAGCCTTTGGTGTTTGTGGCTGTCCCATTTACCTACTTCCTAGTGTTTTGGTGCTCCCTAGTTCATGTTCAGGCTTTCCTGGACCAAATCTTGCTTTGGCATCCTGACATTTTTAAAGATTGCTCTTTATTCCCTTCTTACTCTCTGGTTTGAAAGCAGCCCTTCCTAGATGCTTACTACAACCATAACATTTACTGAGCTTGCAACTCCAAGAACTCATTGGCTAGTCTTGGAGGAAGTAAAAGCAGAGTCAAAAATAATATATTCAATTTAATTAGAAAAATAAATAAGTAGGGTTCCATTAGTGGTTAAGGAACATTTATTTAAGGGTTTTTCTCTGACATTTTTTTTCAATTTGTAACCTACAAAATAGCTACATGTGGTCCTATTTATCAATAATCAAAATGTAGCCTTAATGAGGATGAAATATTTAATCTGTTACATGTTTAAGCCAATTGTTTCAAAACAGTGGAGAATAGAAGTTTACAAGACACACTGACTACACAGGCAGAATGTCTTGACAGCCAGACATAATTACCCCATTAGGCGTTAGGCTCAGCTGTTACTTCTTAGCAATGGATCACGTGGTTTCCCTAGGTGACAATAGGAGGTCAAGCCTCTGCATTTCTTTTCAAAAAGCAAATCAGTAAGACCTTCCTCCTCACACTTTTTTTTTTTTGGTAGGATGTAGGGCTGTATTACTGACAAACTTACTAATTGTCATTGTACCCTGATTAAGCAAAAATATTCATGCATTATACATTTTTTTCCTGCTCGTCCTGAAGACTGGCAATGATCCAGTAATTGGTATCCTATTTTCCATCATGTGTGTGCACACATATGTGTATGGGACCTTTTTTCCATCAGTAACAGGGTTTATTTAGCTCTCAGTTTTATTATTTTTGTTCTTATGATCGGGATTTTTTTCTTCATCGATTGTAAACAAGTTTTCCGGTGATGCTTGCCTTCTAATAAGTATAAAAAGCAAATGATCACTTAGGAATTATAGTGAATTGTACATATCCACTCCAATGTGTGAGAGTACCAGGGCATGTGCTTTGTAACGTTCATGAAATTAAGAGCCAACATAAAGAACTTTTCAAAACACCTGCATTTAAATTTGCTAGTTAAAATGTTAAGACTATGACCTATGTGCTACAGAGGTCTACAACAGACATTGTCACAGAAAATGGTCTTCAGGATATGGTGATTTGGTGTTTTTGTAGTCTAAGGGACTCCAAGATGGCCTTTCCCTATAACCAGTTCAGTTTCTTAATACATTGTTCTTTCCGATGTATTGTTTGAATAATATTTTAATCAGTATTGAAACTAACTTATGCCTCTTTTATTTACTTCAGTTTATTTGGATTTAAGTACTCAAAGCTCAGATTACATTTGCTTTCAAGAATGTGGTTGCCTTGGTGTCCTGCAAAAAATTCTTTATCCATGGTAAAATGTTCATGAAATAAGTATGTTGGCTAGACAATGTGTCTCTCAAAGATTTCTAACAAACAATAACTTGAAAATGTATTATGGTGCATTTCGATACTTATTTACTGACATTTTGGGGGGCCTTTTGTGCTTGAAGGAAAACTGAGGGAAGTGGTAACTGTTCCTTTATCAATCCAGTTTATGGGAATTGGAGCAACCCAGAGAAAACAGAGGTAAGTGGCAATGATGAACTGCATTATTTCAGAAGCAGAAACACACACAGTCACCTACAACCACACCAAACCAACTAGTTTTGTCTGGACATGTTCTGTACCATGGCTAAGAGAGACATTCTGGTGAAGTTGTTTCAGTTGGAGGGTAGAAGGATTTTGAGTCCTTACATACAGTGAGGATTTTCCATTTCAGGACAGTTTCAGTCCACTTGTAAAATCGGTTCACTGTTAAGTGACTCTGTGGTCACCGTTCATACTCAGCTGACAAACCTGGAAAACATCAGTTAAACCACAGACTACTAGTTACTCACAGTAACTAGTCACTGAATGTTCTTCATATTTTATTCTTTGAAAACTAATCTTTAAATTTAGGTGCACGTAGTGAGGCCATTATTGTAACTTAGAACAGGAAAACAGAAATTAAAATACCTTATGGTCTTTCTTGGCCCTTTGTGGGGGGGGCTCGCCCTTATCAGTGAAATAGCAAGTAGGCTAGAGAAAAAATGTAAAGAAAGATCTCTCTTACTTTTATTTTTTAATTGTTTGAGTCATCTTCACCAGCTTTATTGAAGTATAACTGGCAAATGAAAGCTGTACACATTTAGTTGTACAACATGATATTTGATACACATTGTGGAGTAATTACCACAGTCCAGCTAATCAACATATCATCACCTCACTAATGGTGGGAACATTTGAGATCTGCTCTCTTAGCAAATCCCAAGTATATAATAGAGCGTTATTAATTAAACTCACCTTGCTGCATGTCAGATCTGCAGAACTTATTAATCCTGCATAGCTGAAACTTTCTACCCTTTGACCAAGTAACCTCCCTTTCTAAAGTAAGTATATATGAACAATTCATCACATATGAAATAAGTTTAGTAATAGCACACCACTTCCTATGCATAAAAGTTTGCTTATACCTGACTTTAAAAGTATGTCAGATTCATTCTCTTATAAAAGTGATTATACAGAATACTAAAGTTTAAAGCAGTTTCTTATTTTATTGTTCTTAATATTGAAAATGAGTAGCAAGGTATCAGATCAGATGGTCTCTAGTAGTTGTAAGAGCCTTGGATCATGAGGTTGGAGTCCAAAACAACACTTGACATTTTAATTTCCTGGTTCCTTCAATAATGATGTGATACTCACTTTGAGTATTATTTTGATAGAAATGAGAACAAGAGGTAAGAGAGTTCCCTGAGCAACAAAGAATTAGTTTGGATAATCCATCAAGTAAATCAAAACATAGATAAAAGTGAAAATGTATCCCTCCTTAATGGGTGATAAATAAGTACAAACACACAGTTTTTAATAAATGAAAGCAAAAAAGGCAAAATATAAATCTATCTTTATTTTTATTAAAGAAAAGAAAATTTAACCTTCTTGTCCTCAATGTGAGTTAACTTTTAATATCTGACACCCTAATAACATGCAGAATTAAAGTGATGTATTTTAGGTTTGAAAATTTTTATTTTAATATCTCACAAACTTAACCATTCTTAAAACCTGGTTAGGGAGGTGTTAAGCATTCTTTACTAAGAATACATCTTCTCTAGAGTTTGAATCTGCAATTCCCAGAATGCACAGGAAGAAGTCTAAATCAAAAACCCAACTTTCAACATGCTTTAAGCTGGTTTTCACTATGTATATGTATGCCAATACAATTGGTGAGTCTAGGGGAAATTTATTTTTATTTTCTGATAAAAGAAAAATTATTCCTTTCTCAGAATCCTTTTGCATGTTCCTTTTTCATTCATTAAGAATGGAGAAGAGGACTGACGGAGTGGCTCAAGCTGTAAGAGTGCCTGCCTAGCAAGCATGAGGCTCTGAGATCAAACCCCAATGCTACCAAAACAAAGAATGGAATAGAGAAGAAATCATGCCATTTCTCCTGACCTTTGTTGTTGTTTTAATTTATATAGTTTTCAAAAGAAATGACTTCATATTAATTAAACTAAATCTATGTTCCTTGACATTATAGCAGAAATATACATTTTTCTCAAATATTATTCAAAGAACTTTACAGAAAACTTACATTCTGCTAGTAGATACTAAGAGGACAGTGTACAGAACTCCCAGTCACCCATCAGCCACCAACAATTATCAATCCATAGCCATCTTCTTTCACTTATTCTGCCATCTGTTCTCTTAACCCATTGAAGAGTTTTTAAGAAAACCCAAGATATGATTTAATTTCAACTATAAAATTTCAGTCATAATTTTAAGGGATAAGGACATGGTAGCACACAGCTGTAATTCCAGTTATACAGACGGTATAGACAGGAAGATCACAGGCTGAAGTTAGCCTGGATAAAAATGCAAGACCCTATCATTTTTCTTATTGTAATGTCTAAAATCCTAACCTTTGAAATGTGTGTTTCCTCTTTAGAGTTCTGTGTACTCCTTCGCAAATCCATTTTATGGCAAAAAGCCAAAAAGCCTGGAAATCATGCTTCATCATCTCAAATCATAGCATCAAGATCAAGTGTGCTGCTTATAGAAAATACCATTCTCCAAATTGATCTTATCCAATAGTGCAAAGAAGAGATTCAAAATGCTAGTGTAACTATAACATTTTCAAAATGATTTTCTTACTGAATATGTTAGAATCTGATTTATGCAATCAAAATCAGTGCCTTAGCTTCATTCTATATCTGAGTATTTTAATAAAATGTTCTACTTCATTAACTTCTCTTTTGATTTTATACTGGTTATTTTTTAAAGTGATAACTTGAGTTTTTCAGATCCTGGATATAAAGAAGTTTTAAAATGCTCATTTCTTTGCCATTTATCTTAGAAATGAGATTAAATGGATGTGTTGTACAAACTACCAGGAATAAACAAATCATAATAACCCTACTCAACATAACCATCATCAAAGCTATTTCTGCATTTTGAAAAACATATGCCAAATGATCCTAAACTTACCTTTTCTCAAATGATCATATAACATTCTATATACATATATAAAATCATGCTAAATATGAATTCATTTGTATTGAACTACGAGACACTATAAAAATCTCTTCTGGAATTGCTTAAATAGCATACCAGTCATCAACTCACATGGCGGGGAATTAGGAGATGATGCACCTCTTTGGTTGGTTTTTCTAACAGCTACATCACCTCAGCAAGGACCTCTGTTATTTAAGTATCCCTTCCCACACTCCACTATGAAGCACGTTCTCCTACAGATTAGATGGTGGCTAAATAAACTGTGGCATCACTGTGTTCATAATCAAGTTTAGAGACAGAATGCACTTCCAGCAATCACTTCCAGCAACCAATTCTTGCTCATCCGGACAGATATGGCACTTGTGTTAAGATAACACTTCCAAGATAAGGAGGCTACCATGATTGACTGAGACCCTTCTCTGGACCACATGGGCTGGAAATGGATCTGTGGAGCACATGATAAAGTAATAGGGGTAGACACCTGAATGAAGTTGGAGTCAGGAAGGATATAGTTGAGCATAGATTTCACCACCATTTTGTGAGATTACAGACTGGCAAAAACCATTATTTTTCATTAATCTTGCAATAAATCAATCTTAAATTTTATTGGTGTCAAACATTGAGCTCTACTAACTGCACTATAGTTTAACTCTATATTCATATTTTTTAATTGCTGCTTTGCTAATGACACAAAAATTAGTAGTAATTATTGTTATTGTTTTGTAAATATGATCACCCAACCTACACTTAGCTGAGTTATAGGAATAAATAAATTCACTGAATTTGTGACATATAGGGAACTCCAGATTTTGAGTAATGATTGAATATCAACAGAGAATAGAAATGAGAATACTCTTAAAAGTATTTAAATTTTTCCTTGGGTGCAAGTTATATGTATCCTAAAATCAAACATTCTTTGAGGTCTCGTAAGTACACATGGAAATTCCATTAAACTAAAAGAATAAAACTTTTTCTCATCCAATATATAACAGGTTCAGTTTTCCTAATTTAATGTGAGAATCAGAAATGGAGAATTTATTTTTCTTTGCATCTTTCTTCCACTGAAAACTTTCAGTATAAGCCCAAATTTGCACCAGTATGATTTTTTAAAATTAGGTAAGGAGAAAGAAGGGAGGAGAGGCAAGATACAAAGTCCACAATTTATACAACTGAACATTGTACCATTAAAACATTTGAAATTTCATTCTGACATATTGAATGGATTTGAGAAAAGTAATTTTTTAAGAGCTGGTAGATGTCAGGAGAATGAATCTCAATGAATAGTGCAATAGATTCTTAGGGCTTTTAGTGCACAAAAATTTAAGACAACATGTCTTCTGTTAACTGGATTCATGTAACTTTCTATATCCCAAAATAAACTTTAAACATAAAATAATACTAGTAACAGCAACAAACACAAGAAAACATAGTAATTATCTGCTAAATATGGTATTTTATGTATTTTAACTCATGAAAGCAGTTTGCTATGTACTATGATAGTCACTATTTACATGTAGATATTTAATATGAAATTTAAATTACCTAAAACTAAGTAAAATTTAAAATCCAGTTCCTTAGTTATACCAGCCCTGTTCCAAGAGTTGGATGACCACATGTGGCTAGTGGCATCTCAACTGGACAATGAAATTAACATTTCCATCATCCCAGTGATCTTCCTTGGACAGTACTACCTTAGAACGATGTTGACATAGTGGACTGTAAATAGTACACTAGTAGGATCTATAAATCTAATAAGTTTCTCCCAATACATATATTTTAACTAAAAGAAGCTAATTTTCACACAATAGTAACAGATTACAAATAAGAAAAAAGCAAATGTAGTTGGAAGGCAACTTGAAAATACATCTGTTGAAGTATCTTTCAATAATTTTTTTGTCATATAAATGCCACATAGCATTCTAGTATAACCACATCATGTTTACCTACTTCATTTTTTTAGGTTTGGATGGCACCTTGGAAAACCTACAGTAATTTGCTTTTATCTTTTTGTTTTCTTGACCTTCAATCATTTTCGTATTTATTACACCGAGAACAAAAGATTCAAGCTTTTCTTTACATAACAACTGCCTTGTGCTTAGCACATAAGAGCCTGCACTTAAGTGAAGGAACAAATATATTCATTCAGGTCAGTGTCTTTTGCAATAAATACTACTAAGCTTCATTCTTACAAATAAAAAACAGAAAAATTCATATTGAGAATACAATGAATGAGGAAATTTTCCCTACAAGCCTTTTTATAAAATAAGAACTTCAAGTATGTTTTTCACTGTCAAACCAATGACAGCTTTATGATGCTTAATGCTTTTCTGCTTTTCTTTGCGTCATCTTGCAAAATGTTTTGCATTTTATTACTAGCGTTTCGAGAAAATCATTGCTAGGGTAAATATCTAAAATAAGTAGAAATCAAACATCTTGGCCCTTAAATAATTAATCATAAGAAGAAATGGTGATATTTTCTATAGGCATGCACTTTATGAAATTTCAATGAAACTAGGTAACTGTCATGTTTTGAGTTAAAGAAGTCTGTAACTAAAATCGTTAAAATATGCATAAGAAATGAGCTTAAGAATACACACTGGTACATGTCATTAAACATTCTGAGGGGAAGTGCTCAAAAGAGCACATTTTCTTTTCTAGAAGATGGAAGCAATAAGAGAGATTTTTATTTTTCTACATTTTAAAACATTTGCTTATTTATTTAGGCTTGATCCCAACGATTTTAGAGACTACTTCCTTAGTGCTTCATAATGTTTGTTACTATATAGTCATCGCAGGAAATTAGCATAATTACCTTTTATCAATGTAATATATTTGTAAACCAATAATAGAAGTGCCAACTTAAAAGATCAGGGAAACCAAACCTGGTTTCTCCATCTAGTTGTTTTAAAACAACAGGTATTAAGTAAGCATTTAGTCAATCACTAATCATAAACTACTGGCTAAGGAAAAGATTTAGATTTAGTCAGCATGAGATAATTAGATTTGTCCCTGATGTATTGAACAAATATTTCTAAAGAGTATTTACACTGAAAGAAGTAAAAGAAAGCTGAAAGATGGTAAGAAGAATATGGAGGACGTATATATAATGGCATCTGCCATGTGGGACTTCACTAGAGTTTTATATATATATATATGAGTGAGAGAGAAATTAATAAAATAAAAAATATGTAAAATAAAATATTAGTGATTTTGAAAAATAGTAAATTCCTGATGAAAGAAAAATATTAAACATCTGATCAAATAAATTATAAAATGAATAACAAAGAACCCAAGGAAGCAAATCAAAGGATTATGCCAAATAATGTCCGAAATGGAAATGGTGTAACTACTATTCCATTCTTAACAAACATGAACGAGATAATGAATATATTATTTAAAAATACATGAAGGACAAAATATCAAAGTTCAGAGAAAACAAATTCCTAGAAAATGTAATTTTCTACAGCAAACATAGAAAAAGAAATAGAAGACAAAAGTAGTCCTATAACAAAGTAATGGATCTTTATTTAATAATAATCCTTCAAACAAAACTACAGACACATAAGAGCAAATTTTATAACACATTTAAATAATGCCAAACTCATACAAATACTTCCAGAAAATGAGAAATTAGGTAATTCTTTTTTTAATAAAAATTATTTTATTTATTTTATTCACTTTTTCCTTGTTATTATTTTATTGTGCTTAGGGTACATGGTGGCATTTACAAAAATTCTTACAATATACCAAATATATCCTACTTGAATTCACCCCCTCCATCATTTTCTCTTACACTTTCTTCCCCCATTCCTAGAATAGTTTCAGCAGGTTTCATATTCCATTTACATACATGTGTACATGTATTTTTTTTTAATTTTTATTTTATTCATATGTGCATACAATGTTTGGGTCATTTCTCCTCCTTCCCCCACCCCCTCCCTTACTCCCCGCACCCTCCCTCTCACCTCCTATCCCCTCGCTACCCGGCAGAAACTATTTTACCCTTATCTCTAATTTTGTTGAAGAGAGAGTATAAGCAATAACAGGAAGGAACAAGGGTTTTTGCTAGTTGAGATAAGGATAGCTATACAGGGAGTTGACTCACATTGATTTCCTGTGCATATGTGTTACCTTCTAAGCTAATTCTTCTTGAACTAAACTTTTCTCTAGTTTCTGGTCCTCTTCTCCTATTGGCCTCAGTTGCTTTAAAGTATCTGCTTTAGTTTCTCTGTGTTGAGGGCAACAAACGCTATCTAGTTTTTTAGGTGTCTTACCTATCCTCAGACCTCCCTTGTGTGCACTCACTTTATCATGTGATCAAAGTCCAATCCCCTTGTTGTGTTTGCCCTTGATCTAATGTCCACATATGAGGGAACATACAATTTTTGGTCTTTATATACATGGTATTTATGCCACATTCACCCTCCCGCACCCTTTCCCCACATCCTCCCCCCAACTACTGGTGCCAACCCCCCAGACAGGACCTGTTCTGCTCTCCTGTTTCCTAATTTTGTAAAG